AGTGGTAGGTGAAGCACAAACACTCATACAATAACAATACACGCGATCTATGAAGGTTCAAATATCGAGTTATAGAACAATATACATACATAGTTGATCAGGCACACTGGGATCATGCTAGAAGGCCTATTTTCCTAAATGAAACGTAATTGAGAAGCCAAAATTGGGATCTCTTGAATACATTTTCAAAGTCGTCATTTATGAAATGAAACTTATTATGAAATAGATCAGACGTACCTATTCCAGTTACCATTTTTAACTAGAATTTAGCAAAAAAAGTAACTTTAGCAAAAAAGTAACAAAAATTGTGAAACTCTACTCTGTTTCAGAACGCAGGCAATTCTAAAGGAAATAAAGTCTGTCAGGTAGCTCTGTAGTTAACTACGAATTGCCTAAGCATTCAACTGGGCAAGTTTCCGTGCCTGAAACAAGACACGCATACTGATGAACGCATGATTAAATGTACATTTCACAGGCATATCACTGTACATATATTATAATCAAATTATTGAAAACAGAACGGATATACAACAAATATATTAACACCACAACACTTCGGAAGCATTGTAACACAAAGGAAAATGAACCAGATAATTAGTGAGAAATTTTCTAAAGAGCCAAGTTCATTTCGCGAACCCGGAAAATATGTCGTCTCAATTTAAAGCTATCCCAAAAACGGATAGTCTAACTTTATATCGCACAGTTTAATATACAAATAAATTTATCTGTATTGCAAGACGGACATGCATACGACCCTAATTTTAATGGGAGCAAGGAACACAATATCCAAGCAAAAGAGAAATTATTTACAGGATCAAAAAAATTACAGTTAAATTGTTGTTGGATTATGGGGCGCACTTCAGATGTGATCGATAGCAACAAGTCTCTAGAGACAGTCTATCAAGAATATCCAAAAAATGTAATGATCATATTCAAAGCTAATCCGCAAATGATCGCAGCAAATAGGAAACTGTCAAAAGAGAAATGGAAATAGGTGTATACTGAACACCGGCCACGTTTGATGAAATTCATCAAAATATATCGAATATATTAGCATCAAATTTCAGTTACATACGTGCTTAAAATGAAGATTTATGTAGCCACACAGATGGAACGCAAAATCGGTATCAGCGTCGAAAAATTAGTTTTGTTGCATCCAAGCGTGCTGATTTCAATTAGAGCTAGTGAAGGTTTTGTTTCCAATTCAAAGTTCGAACTGCATTTACGGGCAACCGGCAGACCAAAGGGGCCACAGAAAGTAGATACTTGAACAAATGAATAGAGAATTGATTATAATTGTGAAACAATTAAATCCCTCGAACGGATGATCTGCGGGACTATGTAATTTAATAATTTTCACTTCAGAGTTAGGAATTTTGTCGCCATACTGGGTCAATTGTTACGGCTTTGCCTTCAATAAAACGATTTGAATAATTGTTCGTACGTCAAAACTTTCATTATTATAACATTCCTCTAAGGAAAGCGACACAGGTATTGCACCTCGGAAAAAAATAATTATATGAAGGGGATCAGTAATTAATAGATCGGCAATTTTGCCTAATTTAGACCAGTAAACACGCTGGAACCAGTATTTCAGCACAACAATATGAATATTCAAAATACAGTCGCCTCGTCACTGAACTGTACTCTTTCAGTAGTAGGTTAAAGAAACGGTTAGAAGTTACAGCTTGGAGCAAACTTTAGTATGTTAAGTTCCATATGTTCAAAAAGGTTAAGTCAGCATATATAGGTGTCAAATCTCTATAATAAAGCATGACAATATTTAAAAAAATGTTCAAAAGATATATTACTTTGATTCTTGTATGCACACCTGTAAAAATTTTAAATCATCTATGCGGTTCTGTCATGTAAATTTGTGGTATAGAAACACGGATTTGTGTTATTACTCCTCAATAATTGAGTGAACCGTTACTGAAGCAAGAGCCGTGACCATTAGTCACATCATAGAGGCACGTTACATATTGTAAACTTCAATGACTTCAATCAGTCATTTTTTTATACATAGATATCTATTTAATCATTGTGTAGTTCCAATTTGTCTGCATTGTTGCTACCGAAAAACAAAGTAAATGGCAACGATATTTTCAATTATAAACAGGCGTCAGGTTAAGATGTAAGTGATTGCGAGGAGGATAATGCTGAGGTATAGGAGGAGGTGGTGAAGGCGTTTTGGTGCGATTTTGTTGCTGTTCCCTCCTAAGTTTTATACTCAGGAGGACGTGAAGCATCATGGCTTTGCAGTCTCTGAGCGATCGACGCAGGGCACCGCTGCAAGAGCTGCGAGGGCGGGAGAGCAAAGCGGTCAGCACAAACGGTCAGCACACAGTGGTCAGCACACAGCGATCAGCACAAAGCGGTCAAAACACAGCGGTCAGAACAGAGTGGTCAACACACAGCGGTCAGCACAGAGCTGTCAGCACAAAGCGGTCAGCACAAAGCGGTCAACATACAGCGGTCAGCACAGAGCGGTCAACACAAAGCGGTCAGCACAAAGCGGTCAACACAAAGCGGTCAACATAAAGCTGTCAGCACAAAGCGGTCAACATACAGCGGTCAGCACAAAGCGGTCAACACAAAGCGGTCAGCACAAAGCGGTCAGCACAAAGCGGTCAACATAAAGCTGTCAGCACAAAGCGGTCAACACAAAGCGGTCAGCACAAAGCGGTCAGCACACAGTGATCAGCACAGAGCGGTCAGCACACAGCGGTCAGCACACAGCGGTCAGCACACAGTGATCAGCACAGAGCGGTCAGCACACAGCGGTCAGCACACAGCGGTCAGCACACAGCGGTCAACACACAGCGGTCAGCACAGAGTGGTCAACACACAGCGGTCAACACAAAGCGGTCAGCACAAAGCGGTCAACATACAGCGGTCAACACAAAGCGGTCAACACAGCGGTTTGAGTTGACCGCTACTCAAGGAAGGATAATGAAATTGAAATTCTCCAGGAGATGCCAGGCGGAAGAGGGTTGGAGAACATTTAGTTTAGACCAGAAGACATGGAAAAAAAATATCAAAGAACTGGCGACGTTTTCAGTCCAAGGACCGGATGTTGATCGGATGTTAAGGGTTGTTGAAGAAGTGTGCTGGAGCACTGAAGGCTCCGTCCATAATGCTCTAGAGAGCCTTGATGACGGAAGGAATTATCCCTGAGGGCCTCAAAGTGGGACTGATCACACCAATCCACGCAGGCGGTCCGAGGTGCAGACCCCAAAATTACAGACCTGTGATCTTGACCTCACAAGTGATCAAGGTTTTTGAGAAGGTAGTGGCCAGGAGGCTTGTCCAGTAAATGGAAGAGGCTGACATGTATAATAATGGACTGGCGTAATCGTTCCCGTTTGTCACAGTTACTGGAGCACCATCACCGCCTGGTGGCTTAGCTGGAGGAGTGAGCTGGCGTTGACGTAGTTTACCTAAACTTTGCTAAAGCTTTTGACAAAGTCACATGGGGTGCTTTTTAGAAAGCCAAGGCTGTTGGGGGTAGTTGGAACTCTGTTAGGGTGGATCCACAACTTCCTTACAGGTACAGTTCAAGCCAAATTGCTGATATCGACTCGGAGATTACACACGCATCTACATTGTCATTTGCGGACGATACAAGAGTGCTGATGAAGATTACAGATGACCTAGACTGCGAGAGATTACAGGATGACTTGTCGACAATCTACGATTGGGCCTAGTGAACAATATGCATTTCAACGGCACTAAGTTCGAAGTAATGAGATACAGATCCACACAGAGATCGGGATTCCACATCGCTACTTGGCATCAGATGGCACAGAAATTGAGGAGAAGCAACTAGTTCGATATCTCGGAGTGTTGATGAGTACAGAAGCCACGTTCGATGCCCATATCGAGGAAATAGTCNGGTGTAAACTAATTGTTATGAAATGATTGTTATGAACTGTTAAGGTTATTGATAGAATAGTAATAAACCGCAAGCCATTGTCAATGATGGGTTTTGTTGTAAAATTATCGTTATTAATTGTTAATGATAAAATAGTAATAAACCGCCAGCCAATGTCAATGATGGGTTTTGTTGTAAAATTATCGTTATCAATTGTTAATGATTGAATAGTAATAAACCGCAAGCCATTGTTATTGATGGGTTAGGAGTAACGAAGATACCTCTTGATATGTTCGTGCACATACGGAGGGGAGTCCGGGGAGTGTGTGGCGGGGAGGGAGTGTGGGGCACCGGAGCGAGGGGAGGGGGAGGGAGAGGAGGGCGCCGACCCAACGCTACAGGAGGAGCTAACGCGCCGATCCTGCGACGTCTTCGGCAACTCCTGCGCAAGAATATCGTTATTTAATTTTATTTATTGAGAAAACCAATAATATATTTTAAGAACACAAGCATACCGAGAAGGATTATGTTTAATTATCGTCAGCGCAGGAATATCGTTATTTAATTTTAATGAATGAGAGAATCAATAATATATTTCAAGAACACAAGCATATGAAACAAGGATTATGTTTAATTATAGTCAGGGCTTCATGAGGTGTTTGGAGATGCCATCAAGGATTGGATGACGCTAAGACTACGATAATTTATACACAATTTTCGAAAATATTCTGGAAATTTTCTTCGAACTTCTGTCACGAGGCTAATAAAAAAAGTATAAAAATTCTCATGACTCTCGAGGAGCTTCAAGGGACGAGTGATTGAACCAACGTAGAAATACAGTCCTATGAACTTAGGTCCTCTGGTATGGGTTATTTAAAGGATTTATTGGCATGAATTAATTATTCTGCTAAATATTTTCAGACAAAAGTTTGAAATAAGATGAGGAATATGACAACAAAGGGCGTCAGTTCCTTAAAACTTTGTATTGAAAAGAAGCCGCTGTAAGTTTCAGAGTAAAGAAGAACTACTTTCTTTGCAGGCGACAGAAATGACAAATGCTTTACGTACTGGCGAACTCTCGTAACAATCGCCAGGTGTACCAACAGTTCTTCAAGTAATTTTAGACTTACTTGTGGGAGTGTGGGGCACCGGAGCGAGGGGAGGGGGAGGGGGAGGAGGGCGCCGACCCCACGCTACAGGAGGAACTAACGCGCCGATCCTGCGACGTCTTCGGCAACTCCTGCGCAAGAATATCGTTATTTAATTTTATTTATTGAGAAAACCAATTATATATTTCAAGAACACAAGCATACAGAGAAGGATTATGTTCAATTATTGTCAGCGCGAGAATATCGTTATTTAATTTTAATTATTGAAAGAACCAATAATATATTTCAAGAACGCAAGCATATCGAGAAGGATTATGTTTAATTATTGTCAGCGCGAGAATATCGTTATTTAATTTTAATTATAGTGAGAACCAATAATATATTTTAAGAACACAAGCATACCGAGAAGGATTATGTTTAATTATTGTCAGCGCGAGAATATCGTTATTTAATTTTAATTATTGAGAGAACCAATAATATATTTTAAGAATACAAGCATACCGAGAAGGATTATGTTTAATTATTGTCAGCGCGAGAATATCGTTATTAAATTTTAATTATTGTGAGAACCAATAATATATTTCACGAACGCAAGCATATCGAGAAGGATAATGTTTAATTATCGTCAGGGCTTCAGGAGGCGTTTGGAGATGCCATCAAGGATTGGATGACGCTAAGACTTGATGGGGTGGATCTGGCGAACATTTCGAACGAGAGCAGCAGCACCAATGATTGCATTCTTCAGAGCCCTCGTGCTCCCCATCTTGAGTACTGCTGCCAACTTTGGGCGGCACTCAAGGCGGGTGCGCTGGAGGCCGTGCAGCGGACCTTCACGTACAGGATCAGCGGCATGAGGGAGCTGGACTTGAACTACAGGGAAAGGCTGAAACACCTGGGACTGTACTCAATGGAGAGGAGAAGAGAAAGGTATATCATACTGTACACTTGGAAGATGGTAAACGGACTGGCTCTCAACTTTGAGAGTGAGACCTCCAAAATAATGACATATTACAACGAAAGGAGGGGCTGGCTTTGCAGAATTCCCCCATTTAGTAACCGAGCCGCGGCCAGAGTACAGACTCTTCGGGAGAGATCACTGTCCGTGGTAGGACCGAGGCTTTTTAAAGTCTTGTCAACAGTGCTGAGAAGAGGGGAGTTCACCCTTGCAACATTCAAGAGACGACTGGACAATTGGTTGAGAAAGATTCCGGATTGTCCAGTAATGGGAAACTACCCTCAGCAAGTGACAAGCAACAGCATCTTGCATCAGCTGGCCCAAAAGAGGGCAAATAGACGAAACACGTCCAACGTAACATCCGGGACCCGAGGCGGGGTGATCTGCCTAGCGACGACTCGGAGACAGAGGACGACGAAGGCGGCGCAACAGAGCGACCGGGGACTAGGAAGTCCCGAACTTATCATAACGTCATAAGGTTAGGGCACAATTCACAAAGCAGTCAACATAAAGCAGTTAAAACAAAGCGGTCAACATAACACAAAGCAATTAACACAAAAAAAGCAGACGATGGTGGTGAAAGAAGGACCGATGTTTCAATTGAACAGCAAAAGCAAAGAAAGCAAGAGCTTAGTAAATTTTACAGTGCAGGGAATAAAAAAAAATGCAAAAAAACTCTGCAAAATAGTCAATGTAAAATTTACATAACAAATAAGCATCATTTGAAGTTTTGCTCTGGCATGCAAACCGGCAAAACATAGAAACCAAAAAGGCATTATTTGCATGAATATAATATAAAGGAGTTTAAAAGTTTTTGTAAAAGTTTTAAAATAGCCAATAAGAAACCATGAAAAAATATAAAGATTTTCATAACATTTGATCGCTTGGGATGAAGGGAAGCAGCTTTAAGGAATGCGAGGTGTAAACTAATTGTTATGAAATGATTGTTATGAACTGTTAAGGTTATTGATAGAATAGTAATAAACCGCAAGCCATTGTCAATGATGGGTTTTGTTGTAAAATTATCGTTATTAATTGTTAATGATAAAATAGTAATAAACCGCCAGCCAATGTCAATGATGGGTTTTGTTGTAAAATTATCGTTATCAATTGTTAATGATTGAATAGTAATAAACCGCAAGCCATTGTTATTGATGGGTTAGGAGTAACGAAGATACCTCTTGATATGTTCGTGCACATACGGAGGGGAGTCCGGGGAGTGTGTGGCGGGGAGGGAGTGTGGGGCACCGGAGCGAGGGGAGGGGGAGGGTGTAACAATCGCCAGGTGTACCAACAGTCCGTCGAGTAATTTTAGACTTACTTGGAGTCTACTGAAGAGCTGCCTGGGGAAAAATTGTGTTTGTGATTCCTCTTCTTCTTCACGAGGGGAGAAGGCTTGAGGGGACAACATCAGCACGGGGATGTTGCCAAAATGTTCAGCTGGTATTCGCATCTGGAGAATAATCAATAAAAAAATATAACTCAGTACTCCCTGCAGTGAGTAACAGAGAGCGCATTTTCTCGTCGACGAAAACGTGAAGTAACGGACGGACAGACAGACGGACATGGCGAGCACAATAGTGCATTTTTTCCATCAATGAGAAAATGCGCTAAAAACAATCAAAACAATTCAGTGCGACTGCGTCAATTTCATGGACGTAATAACGAGGTCCGGACAACAGTTACATGCATGCATTGCGTAATAAGAGTTATTTCAACAATTTCAAGCATCGTAATCGTTAAATTAAATTAAAACAAATAGGTACACACCTTGGACACACATTTCTTGCAGACGTTGCGTTTACAAAGACGGCACTCAACAGCCCAGTAGCCGAAGAAGCTGAAGCGCACCTTCATACACAGGAAACAGATCTTGCCTTTAGCCATATCCTCCTTGATGGTCAAGTCCAGCGGTAAGGCTTCCAAGTCCGCCTTCGTCAGGACGTTACGGATGTGCACGACCTCTTCCAGCGTCAGTGATAAGCAGTCCAAGTGTGATGCGAAGTGGGCCTGCAGAGTCGGTATACTTTAGCCAAAGATTCGATCAAATTCCTATAGTTCTTCAAAGATTCAACAAAATGCCACCGAACAGTAATCTAGACGTCCAAGTCAAGCTCGTATTTGGCAAATTGCATTAATAAAGCTCAAGCAAGAGATAGAAGAAACAAACTTATAAATGGCGGGACATAAGAGTTTAAATTTACTCCAAAAATTTCTTACATTGGTTAATAAAGTTGCTCGATTTTGCAAGATAAATACATTCACTATAAACTTCCAAACGCCACTTTTTAACAATTGAGAAATTTTCTTTCGCTACACCAGAGAATCAACTGTTAAAGTTTAAGGTTAAATCAAATTCTGTCCAGAAGCCGATTCACTAACTTCATTTTGAACTCTAATTTTCAAAAATAGTCTGAAAACACTCGGCTTTCGCCCTGTCATGTCAGAAGTTAATCCCGATTCAATATTTTATATTTATTCTTCCTAACAATTAAAATAATTGCTAACAAGCAACTTGCAAATGCAATTATTGATTTTATGTTGACTTTGATAGGTTCTTATAGCTACATAATCAAACTTGGGAATGTTAAGTTTTACAGTAAAGCTATAAGTGGGCCGTCGCAAATAAATAGCGCAATTTCCAGTTTAAAAATTGCTCTGGAGGCCGAAATGGAAAGAAGCAGAAATGCAAAACTAAGAATCGAAATCACGAATCGGATATTTTGCTCACAAGGATTGCAGCGGATGAGCTATTCATCGTAAGCGATTCGGTGATTCATTCGCTTTAGATTCACACAAAACTTGAGGCGACCATTGAAAACTTGTATAAAGCCAAGCTGGGCCCTGGTCAGTAACGAATTAATCCTCTCTAATCCGTCAGAAATGTAGTAATCCTCAGTAATCCATCGGTAATGAAGTACCGTATTCCGTCATGAATCCGTTGGCAATAAAGTAATCCTCACTAATTCGCAAACAATAACTTTATCCCTAGTGAGACATTAGACTGGCTGGGCGTGGGGGCAGCAGAGGAGGGGGCAAGGGGGTTACATTGACTTGTCCCCCGCTGCATGGTGGGGGGCGCGGAGCCCCCCAGAAAAAGGGACGACTGAGGGGGGCTTGCGGGGGCAATATCGCTCAGGTCGTCGTCGTCATCATCCTGTGGGGGAATATTAATTTAATTTAATATAGTCAATAAATAATTTACGACTGATCGTATATATATAGGGTTATATATAGGCCGTAAATATTCTAGGATTGTCACTTTTCGGCAATATTTAAAGGGGATACTACAATTAAATGATAATTTTGAATTATTTAAAGACTTTTCAATAAAAAATCGTGCTGTTTCAGTCATTGAAAATTTTACCCGCACAAATTGCCCTGTTCAAATTATTAAATGATTTGGAAGTTATCAACACACTGCTCGCTAAGAAAACAACATCAAGAACATATTAGCTTTGTGCATATTGACTTGAACGATCACGTCTAATCGATCCAATACAATCATTAACTTAATTATATAGAAACTTCTTTCCGCTAATAACAATCCGCTAAAAACAAAGCTAATATTACATCAAATACTTCATTCACATCACCAAGTCAAGGATATATTAGTATAGATATATCAGATGCTACTTCATTCACATCACTAAGTTATGGATATATCAGCGTGAATATATCTCGCTATGCACCAATAGACAACATGTATAAGCAGACCTCGGCGTCTATGGTGATGCTGGGGAAGGAAATGAGTTTGCGCTTGGGGAGAGACGGCGCTCCTTCCGACGTCACGCGTCCCAACACAACTGCACGAACAATATCAACATTTTATTTGTAAAACAGGCCTAGGTTAGCAATAATAGCAATATAATATCACACATTTACTTACGAGGTAGCGCAGACCGATAGGAGTTTAAAATATTATTGCTTCTTTTCTTCTCAAGATGGGTATGGAAACATTTGGAGAGATCATTAGTTGCAATGTGTGAAACTGTGAACGCTGGCAGACAAAAGACAGGCATTATGGAAGTTCAGCCGTCAATAAATGCTCACTCCACTTTTGGAATTAGTTCATTTACTTCAAAAAGTATGACCTCCATGCCCAAACAAAATAAGGTCAGATCACAACTCTTCAGTTGTAGGAGAAATGCGAGGTCATCAGAACGACAACAATGCCTTCATCCAGAAGCTTTCTTGTGCCACTGCAAGGCCACTCCCAGACGCAGGAACGTAAACCGACCATATGCTCGTAAAAAACACGTCAAACAGCAAAATAATTACAGTTTTTAACTTTAATTGCGCAAGATTTGAGAAACATGCGGCGCGAAAAAGTTGTGAGAACGGAAGAGATAGTATTGGCATCGCTGCTGGACCTAATTGAATGAAGCTGCAAGTTAACCTTGATCTTCTATAGATTTCAGCAACCATTTGCGTTAAGTTCTTCCTGACAATTTCTATTCAGATTGATGATTGTATTTCTACAGGAATGTAAAAGCTAGGAAACCCAGCCAATTCGATAAATCATTATATGAAATAAGGCCTGTGTCTCACTTAATACAAGCACTGTATGAGTAATCCACGAGCTAGATAGGAAGATACATAAAACAGTCGACTTCTGTAGGTTAATAGAGGAAGATGAGCAAGTCAAAACTTCTCTCTATAGGTCACTGATGTCCAAGTCAGTAAATTAAAAATACTTCGAAATATGCTGATTTTCCTGTTTCTCAATAACTTTCTATCTTCAAAATAGACTTCAATAATAGTTAATGCAGAAGGTTGGAAGCAGCGTGATGACGCAATGGACGAGTTCATTTGTTCAAGTGCCATCATGCAGGTTACATAGAATGGAGTGCCGGGGGCAGTAGCGTGAGACAGTGAGGCTTGCGTCACAGTTGTTCCATGCCTCAAGGGAGCAGCTATGCAACATTATTTCAATAACTAATGAGAGAAAGATACACGAGATACCCACAGCATTAAAACTCAACAATGAGCTCGCAACTCTATAGACGTCCAAGTCAAATTCGCATTTGGTAAATTGCATTAATAAAGCTCAAGCAAGAGATAGCGGAAACAATAATAGAAAACTTATTTGATTGAAAATTTTAGCAAAATTATGCAGAAAGCACAACAAACATGAGGAAAAATTCAAAATCTACGGATCATTTTTTAAATTTGAGAGAAATTGTCGTACCCAAGTGGCGACAGCAGAGTGAAAGTATTGCGTCACGCAAGCACCCTGGCGAGCACACACGTAATCGGTGTGGAATGGTGAACATGCAATCACTAATGAGGAGCTTGAAGCCTCCACATGCCATTACGCATGATTCTCAATACTTAAAAACTCGATGACGAGCCCTGAATTTTGAAAGCAGGGAAATTGTGTGCTGAGATACAAAAAATATAACTCAGTACTCACTGCAGTGAGTGACAGAGAGCGCATTTTCTCTTCGACGAAAACGTGAAGTCACGGACGTACATGACGAGCACAATAGGGCATTTTTTCCACAAATGAGAAAGTGCGCTAAAAAGCGATAAGAGTTCAACAAACACGATTGGCCACAAGAATTAGAGACGAGTATTCAATAATCTACGAGCAGTATAACAAAGGAGTTCAATTCAATGAGGTGGGAAAAAGTTAATGACACCAAGTTATGGGCAATTCGTGAAACCAAATATCCACAGGGCACAACTGTTGAAGCAATAATAGGTCATGGATGGATCACCTTTGCAATTTGAATATACTTATTATCTAATACATTATCGACGTAGAGATGCAAGACTTAATTAATCATTTCAACCTTTTGATATTTTCATTGTAATTATGGCAATAAATTAATTATTTACATGAAAATACTCCCCAATTTAAATACTCCCCAATCCGTACCGAAAAAGGCAAGCTCAGAATTCAATTTGTTTCGTTCCTACATAAGGCGCTCGGGATGCATCAGGTGCGAGTGATATTCAAGGACGGAAATCTTGCTTAGCTTGATGAATAGGCTGCATGTGCGTCATTTGCAGGAAGACTCGTGAGCAGAAATGAGCAGATATTTCATGCATGGAGACGGGAAAATGTTTGTTTTTCTTAAAACGGGACTCCAATGAAGTCTTCACACGAAAATAAGAATCAGCACAAGCAACGCTAATCCTGTTATCTCTACGTGCGAAAATAAGTATTCACTAAAAAAATATTAAAACAAGTTAATAAAAACCAGAAAATTAAAATTTACATCCTGTGAAAATATAAAATCAGTGGACAGCCTCATCATTGTACTGACAGTAATGAAGTGGTTTTTCGATGAATTTCATTGCACGCAAATTTAGGCTGATGAGCACCTCAAGGCACAGCATTAATTTCTATAACTATAACGACAGCATAGTTAGACTGTCTCATAACTCAGTTACATTACTGAAGTAATTTATTGAAAATGTGAATGCTGTTCATTAGTACGGACTTCACTGGCCTGACTTCGGACGAACTTCACTGTCCTGAGCCACGGATTTGCTCCGAACCTAATTGAGTATAAAGATGGTGCAGGTAGTTTGGCGTGCAATTTTAGTTGGATCATCAAACTCTGGACGCTCTAAAGTGCTCTCGCATTCGATTTCCAAACTCAATTTTGGACAGAAATTACAAATGGCAACAACCTGCTGTGGCCTAGGATCTAGAACTGAGTAATGTACATATAATAGCGGCTCACATGTGGAAGCGATAAATCGGATCACTCCGTGCTATTTCGGTTAGATGATCTAAACTTGGAAGCTAGAAATTGCCACGTTTTGATGCCCCTAAAACCTTGTCGTCAGAGGGCTACGTCACCGACATTAAAGCTGCCCTCGTGCCCCATGCCCGACGAGGGAGCCTACTGAGGGTGAGTGTGGGAGGCAATCCCCGCTACAGACGACCATTAGTCAAGTCCCCCCCGGGGAGTGAGGCACTTAATGCAGATTAAAAAACATGATTGGAAATTGATGAGAAATGGCAGATGTGCGCGACAGCGATGGATGTTAATCGTAATCTTACTAATCAAACGAGCAGATATGATTGGTCTCCGCTCATATCATGCTAGATTTGTGTAAAGATATTCCGGTGAGTTCACAAATGAAATTTCGTTCTTAAAAATAAGTTATTGGTAATAGAAATGTTAATATGAATAGTTCGTTCTGTCTGCAGAGCAAATGAAATGCCGTAAAATGACCATGAGCTTGAAGAACAGGAACACACATCGGGAACAATGAAGGATAAGCGTTCACTGGAACACCGACAATTAATCAACAATTAACAGCACAACAATGTAGCCGAGTTTTAAGGTGAAGGGTCGAACCTCGACCAGAGGATCCCAAAACTTACAATGAACAGAATAGTTGGATGATTTGGGCCATAAAATCCGAGCTCATTGTCAGGCAACGAGCAGAGTGTAAATTCATGGGACATTAGTCGTACCCATTCAGAATGAAGTCTTAAAGTTTGATTTCATAATTTATTACATTTATTTGGCGTGTGATGACAAATGAATTGTACATCGCAAATTTAACCCAAACTCTGATTTCTTTATTGTAGAAATTTTCAAAATAATGTGGATTATAATAGTATTCATTCTCTTTAGCTAAGATTCAAACTTTGATTTCTTTGTTGTAGAAATTTTTAAAATAAGGGGGAATAGAATAGGATTCATTCTCTTCAGACAAGATTAACTAGCTTGAACAAAATTTGGACTATAGCTATACCACGTTGTAAGCCTGAGCGTTCTAGTGCAGACATTTGAACATTATTCATTATGCTGAATGACATGAAATACGAATATTATTTTGATAAAAAATTCAAGCGCCTAAACTCTCGTACACATAATTTATTCTCCAATCGACACTTAACACGAACCTACTTAAGTGACGGCATAATCATGCATTAAATTTTGAATTTCATCTAGGAAACCTGAAACATCAGCACGTGCATTGAAATGACCTTTGTTAGTTTAAATGCCCCAAGAATGTCATCGAAGAAGATGGCGAAGAATCAATAATAACAATTATACGAGAGAAGTGGCCACTGCATCGAGAAATGAATAGACCATTTATCCAGCAATGTTAAGAAGTCACATCCCACGTTCAGCCTTGAATGAGACCGCGCCACGCCCTAGTCCGCTCGGGTGTCACTCTACCAAATGAATTCTAACTCCATGAGAATTATAAGTAATAATACCAGATAAATTCACGAAATATAGAAATCGATTGATATTTAAGAACAAGCTTATGCTAATAAACTTCGCTGAAAATTAACAGCGACAAAAATCGTATTCCACCTTGACCATGCATGAAAACTGTTCAAACAAGAGTCTAAAATAACATTTGTTATCGGAACTTAAGGCTGGTGCGTCATAAGGGTTTAAAAAGGACATCAACAAAAGTGATTTATGAGCGACAAAATCGGCACGTTCATAACAACACAGTTTGACGCCTCGCAGTATCGAAGGCCTTCAGCAAGATCAATGTTGTAAGAACAGACCAAACATGGCATTCTAGGTCTTTGTAATCAGCGTCTGAGTCACATTGAGGAGTATGGTCCAGCAACGCAATATCGTGCGAGTTCAGACTATAGCTGATTCAAGCGTATTTTGACAGAGCGCAAAATCAAGGACAAGTTTCCATTTATATTCTTTGTTGTGCTCATTAAGAAGGCAGTTAAAATTCAAAGCTTTCTTTTGCGTAGTTTTTAGAGAAACTATGCGCGTTCTCCAATGAACATTGGCCAAGCGTTTAGAACTACCACTATGCCGAAAAGTCGAGGTCAGAATCTGACGGAAATAAGGCC